TGTTTTGTTAGTTGAGGATCTATGTTCCTGAATTATCATAGCTACCAAAAAACTTAAGACATTAGATCTTCTAGACAAGAATTTGGATTAAATACCCCATGAGATTTCATTCCTAAAGAAGTGAGGATTAAAGGAAAGTAATGACAAAGATGGAAATGAGTAGAGAAAGCAGAGTAAAAGAGAGAGAAAAAAAAAGAAGTAAACTGTGCAGAGACAGAAGGAAGATTTTTTTCAGGAAGTAAAAGAATATATTTTATTCATTGTTTTAGAGACTTAGTTCCAAAATGTTACAAAATAAAATTGCACACAGCTGTTTGGTTTCCTCTCCAGGAATCCTAATCGGAAAGATCTGACCATCTTCTAATGACCAGAGAGCCTTGCTCAGTTGATGCTATTTCTGAAGTGAGTTCAGAGTGTTTACAGATTTCTCTGCACGTTTTTTACATGTTACCGGAGTCCACTTACTATGTACTTAATGCAAGAGGAGAGTCGAGACAGCACTAGACACAGGGCCAGAGCATGGGGACTTTGTTCGACCAGAATTGTGTAGTAGAAAGAGCATCGGATTAAGTACAAGGAGACCCAGGTTTTGGTTATAGCTTTGCCATGAAATGGATTAACTAGTTTTAAAAAGTTGGTTAATCTCTGGTATTCTCACAAAATGAGTGAGGTTGAAACAGATAATTTGTAAGATTTCTTTCCAGTTCTTGTTTATCTATCAACCTTTACAAGTTCTTCAACCCAAAGTACACGAATTTGCAGTTCTTTACAGAAACACTAAGAACTTGTTTAAATAGTTTAGGAAAAAACAAGAGAAGCAAAACAAACACAACAGTCTTTTAGAAGCTGGAACTTCTGTATAAAATATAAAATCAACACATGCTGAAATAATTGGGTTTTTTTTAACCTGCTTTTTAAATTTAGGAATTCTTCTCCCCTCTCCGTAATCTGAGATCCAGAGGTACAACCTTTTCCAAATCCTACACCCATCTTCCTATAGGGGATTAAATCACAGTTAATCCCCCACTCTACTGTTAGTTTTCTTAATGAAAAGGAAGAAAGCCCACAATGCAGCTTCACTTTGGTGCGGCAATATACATTGAGGGAGGAGAGCGCATTGCAGAGGAAGTGATGACATGGAACGGATATTGTAAGATCACTTCACTTTAGAATTTATCAGTGACACCGTCATACAGCTGGTCAGAACTATGGAGTTATGGTTCATGTAAATTCTCTGGGTATTATATGTCATAAGGAAGCTCTTGTGAGCCTGACAGATTAACATTATCTTGATGGGTTACCTCACACTGATGTGTGGTCCTGACTGTAGGGTCGGGGCTTTTTCACAATGGGCTTCTGGCTAAAGAGGCTTATTCAGACTAAACTTCTAGCTGTTTAAAAGACTTGTGCAACACCCTATAGCAGCCACTAGCCACACTGAGCGCTTAAAATGCAGCAAGTCCAGGTTGAGTTTGTGCTGTAAGTTTAAAATACACACCAGAGTTTGAAGATAGCACCAAATGAAAGAAAGAAAAGAAGAAAAAGAACATAAAACACACAAGGAATAATTTTTATACTGATTAAATGAAATGATGGTTTATATTTTAGATATACGGGCTTAAGGAAAATGTCTTAAAATTAATACCATCTGTTTCTTTTGTTTATTTTTAAATTACATCTGTGGCTCATATTTGGGGCTCAAATTATATTTCAATTGGATAGTGCTGGTATAGACCATGAGCTCCTTAAATACGGGGGCCATTCTGTTCTCGATTTTCATGGTATCCCTAGTACCTAATGTGAATGACTAATATGTGTTGCATGCATTTTTAACAAATGCCAGAGAGCTATAATCAGGGTACTCTCTCCCCTTAGCATTGCAGGAGACAATGAAAAGTCTTTACTCTTAACTTCTCTACTCTTCTTCCAAACTGACCATTTTCCTTTTGTGCCATTTTAGTATCTATTGATCAGGTTTAGATTAATATGTCACAGCTTTCCAGCTCCAGATATGCTAATATATCAATGCTTCCATTCTTTAAGCTCTAGGCCCTGAATGGTTTAAACTCTCCTTAATCTTCTTAATCGATTCATTGCATTTCCTTCCATAGCCTCTTTTCACCTCTGCATCATCCTTAGCCTGCAACCACAGGAGCTACATTCCCCAGAATCTCATTCCCTGTGTGGTTCCAGATTGGAACCTGTCAGTGGGAGGCACCAGCTCAAGATTTAGAAGGCAGAAGAGGAGGACCCCACTGTTCTCCAGAGTCAGTTACAGGAAGATGCATGGGCAAAGGGAGCTCCAAAGTTGCTTCCAGAAAAACTTCTTATGGAATGCCGGCATTTATGCTGCCAACTGAGGTAGCTGGTGTGGGATGGACCCACAGTGAAGTAAATAAAGTTTAAACTTCAGGGCTCTTTGCTTGCGTGGGCCCTTTCTAAGACTCTGGGAGTGGTTTGAATAATTTGGTATTCCTAATTTTATTTATTGTTTTCTTAAAAACTCTCTACATTGCATAAGCTTTAAGTCTCACAAGATCTGGCTCTAGCCCTGAGGAGCTGAGAGTCACCCAGAGATCCTGTGACTTTGGTGTCTTTAGGAAAGCTCCTGAGAGTCCCTGGCTTGGGGACTGGATCTGAGATCTACAGCGGAGCCTCTCAGATTCTCTCTCCTCCGTCCCTTCCATCGGCTGAGACAACTCCCTTTACTCCAGAACAGAGTGGCTTCTGTTTTTTCACGACCAAATCATCATTGTGTAAAAATGATGGCTGTCAACAATTAGATTGTGAATCTTTTGTTGTTTCACTTAATCTCACATTTAAGAAATGACATTTTCTCACAACAGAAATAACAGTGAAAAAAATGATTTAATGTCACATGAGAAAACCTCAGGGCAAGCTCTATTTTCATCAGCATCAGGTATTCAAAATGGAGCCCTTCGTCTGGCACATAGTGTGTACTTAGTAAACATGTGCTAATGAGTGAGTGTGTGAATTATTGAGTGAAGAAATGAAAGACTTTATGTGCATCCATATCCAAGCTGCTCTCTAGTTATGGTTATTAAAACAACATAGACCATGTTTGTTCTAATTAATGCTCTCTAGATTCGTTCAGCACAGTACCCAGGAATTTCCAGCTGCTCACAGCTTTTTTTTGGATGAAAATGATGAGTAGTTTTGGGAGCCATTCCAGCACAAAATTCTAGGAAATTCCAAGATGCATCTGTAATTATTTTAGGGTCTTCCAGAGGTTGGAGACCACACCTGTTAGTTATGAATTATCATCCAAGGGTAAATATGGATACAGTTTTCCTCTGCTATCCAAAAGTAGAGCTTTCCTGTGAAAACTTTCAGAAGCTGAAATGGCATAAAGTGAAGAAGCAATTACCTACCATTAATTTATACGGAAAAACTTCAAACTTCTGAGCATTCCCAGCCCAAAAAATAACCTTCCTTAGGCTTTTCTGATATTTTCGGATACATCTTGCTAATGGATGCACAAAATAAATGGAGATGAAGCACAGATGCTCACAGACACAGCTCAAAACCATGGTGGCACGATGCTGAGACGCTGCGTGTTCTGAGGCAAGGAGCTTGGCAGAAACCCTCTCACCGCTAGGGGTGGATGCTGCCTCTACGCGCTCTCTGCAAAACAAGAGCTGAATACTATTTTCACTTCCAATCTTTTTTGTAAAAGTGAAAATTCTCTTTAGATTTCTTTTGGTTAGTGAAAACAGGTACTAATATAGGTCTTTCATAAAAGTGAAGTGGTATAACTTCAAAAAGGACTTTTGAAAAGCAGGGGATACCCATATATATTTTTAAAAGGGCTTGACTATGAGATTGGAGTTTGAAGTGTCCAAGCCTTTATATTTTCCTCCTTGCAGTCGAATTCTACATGGTAAATTGCAATGGCAATCATTTTGGTGGATAAGAAAGTCAAAGGCCAGTCCTCACCAGAAAAAAATGCTTATAGTTTAATTTTAATTAAGGCTGTAACCTTTACAATTAAGAAATATATCAATATGCTTAAAATTAGACCTTTTTTCAAAACACCCATACATAACTATTGTATGTTCCATCTTGAAGTCAAATACGAACCTAACTTTTAGATATATGTAGTTTAAAAAACGCAGTTGAATGACATGCAAAAGTCCATATATTGCTATTTTTTCTAAGAATTTGTTTTCTTTAATTTGTATTTTTCATGGATGGTGTGAGAAAGTAATAAGGCAGGATAGTCTCATAACTATTGCTAACAACTCTTGATAAATAACTGAGTTTGGGTATTTTTGTTTTCACTGAGTAAACATTTGCTGTGTTCCAGCTCTAGGCTAGATTCTGTTCTCACCAGTGGGGATATAATGATGAGCTCCATTTGCAAGCCACCCTCCTGATGTAGCCACATAACAGACAATTGCAGGGGGGAAAAAAAGGTAAATGGATCACGGAAAGAGGGAATGAAAAAAAGGAGCCTTGTAGGAGCAGACACCGGAGCTACACAGGATAATCTCATCTACTTTCTAGGGTACCTTTTAGAAACCCTCGTGAAGGAGAAAACCGGCTCTGGGACACTGAGTATCTAGCCCAGGGTAAAGCCGACAATAAAGGGCAGCAGTAGAACTTATACTTGGGTCTGTCTGGACCTAGAGACGAAGAACACCAAATAATCCTGTATTCCAAATAGTTCTTGGGCACAGGTCACAGTCCCTCTAGCGAAGTGTTTAACCGAATCCAGTCCACTCTATAAAGGCCACATGGGCTCTTCCAACTGGGAATAACATTTGGGTGATGTGCTTTTCTGTCTCTCATCCCTGAGCCTCAGAAGGCTCAGTTGCTTAAGCTTTCACAGTTGGAGCAGAAGGTAGGATGTAAATTTATTGTTTTTTTTTCTTTCCAAGTACAGTAGCAAATACATATAAAATAGCTCATTATTTGTTGCCATTAAATTGGTGTAAACCCTGATTAATTCTCAGAGGTTTGGACTTCAATTTCCTTACCTGCGGTTTATAGACGAAATTATCCGTGAATTACCTTTCAGGACTAAAGTAGCCAAATCGTGTTAAGATTTTCATTATTTCAGTTCTTAATTGCTGTATCAGAAATCGTTTCTGGTGCTTCATGGGTGAGCAAATGCAGAGGACTTAAAAAGCCAGCGTTTGGGGGAGAGGAGCGCAGCGGACCTGCGATGCACGGCCAGTTCCCTCTCCCGAAGGCCGGTTCCAGGTGTCAGGACGTCGCGCGGGAGGAGCGCGCCCCCGCCCGGCTCCCACCGCGGGGCTGCAGCGCGCGCTCCGCGCAGACTGCCGGTCCCAGGCCCCGCGCTCGCTCACCCCGCTGCGCTTTTCTTTCCGGCGCGGCCCGCGCTCAGTCGCGGGCTCGTCGCGGGCTGGAAAGGGCAGCGGGCGCCTTTAAATGCTAATGAACCGGTGCCCAACTCGGGAGCCAACTTTCCCCACCCTCCCCGTCGCCCGCCCTTCCCGCCCCGGCCGGTGCACCGCCTTGAAAAACTTGCGCGGGGCCATTTTTGGGGCAGTAAGATCGAGCGAAGAGCCCGAGAGCTAGCGCGCAGCCCGAGCTCGAGCCGCCTCCGCCGCGAGACCCAGGCCGCCGCCGGCGCCGCGAGCCCCGCCCCGGGGCCCCGAGAGCGAGCCCCGCCGCCGCGACCACCAGCCGCGCCAACCGCCCACCAACCGCCGCCGAGGTGCCCGAGGGAGAGCGAGCGGAGCAGGCGGCATGAGCGAGGCGGCCGACGCCACCACCACCCTCCCGCAGGCTCCGGCGGAGGCGGCCGCCGCGGCGCCCCAGGACCCCGCGCCCCAGAGCCCGCGGGTCAGCGGCGCGCCCCCGGGCGCGGGGAACCCCGGCGGGGACGCGGCCCCCACAGCCCCGGGCCCCGCGGGCCCCGCCTCCTCAGCCCCCGCCGGCGGTGAGGACGCGGAGAAAAAAGTTCTCGGTGAGTCCGCCGGGAGGGGGGCGCTGCGCCGAGCGGGGCGGGCGGCGGCGGGCACGTGCGGCAGGTCCGTGGCTTCTGCCGCGGCGGCTGGGAAGGCACCGGATGGGCGTCGGGGCCGCAGGGGACGCCGGCCCGCTGCGCCTGTCCCCAGCGCCGGCGGCACTTCGGGCTCTCACGTTCCGTCCCCGCGGCGGGCCCTGGGGCTCTTTCCGCAGCGGAGGAAACCTGGGTCCGAGGAGGAAAGGAGGCCGGGCCGGGAGCGTGGGGCTGGGCGTGGATGTGGCGGAGGCAGGGACACGCGTGGGACGGGGACTTGCAGCCCTCGCTTAGGATCTGCGGCAGGAGAGAGGGAACTCCTTTTGGGGAAGAGGAAGGCGCTGGACGGGGAAGGGTGGGGAAGGGGGAGGCTCAGGTGTCTGTCCCGACGCCCTTCCCACATGGGCACGGGACAGACGCCATGCGTCCGGCGGCCGCGTGCCGGCCAAGAGGTGTTGCAGTCGTGTCCGGGAAGCTTGGGTCTTGGCCCCGCGGTCGCTCCCTCTCTGCCCACCGCTGCGGAGGACCGCTCGGGGTGTACCATCCGCTTCACTCTCTCTCCTCCTGGGCGGCGGGAGCGACCTTGGCTCAGCCGCCCTCAGAACGTCGTGGGGGCCTAGGCTACGACGTGTTCGAAACATCGCTGTCTTGGGACTTGTAACTCGGGAAAGGAAGTAGGACGACGGGACGTTCAGGTCTGGGGGCAGCGCCTTAGGAAAGGTCTCAGTGGTGGTGGGTTTCGGTCGCAAATTTCAGCATTCTCTCAAGTAACGCCCTGTGTGAGGCCTTGACCAGGCTTCCGAAGCGGTGGGTGGGGATCGGGCTCGCAAGGGTGTGTGCGCCGGCCATTCACTCTGTAAACAGGAAAGCTAAGAGATGGTGCAGGATGCTCCAGAGAAGTTTTCAGTATCTTGAGTGGGACATGTTTCATCTCTCTGAGCCTTGCCTGCCCAGTTTTCCAAGGAAGAAAATACTGTGGGAATAGTATAACAAGGAAGTATAACAAGACTCCATCCATGTTCCCCACCTTGAGAGGGGCCCGTTTTCTGGGTCCTCCACCCCCCAGGACTTTTTTACTCAGTGACCGGCAAACAACGTGCGAAGTGTAACCTGCGCAGGTCAAGTAACAAAATAGCCCACATTTGGCTGGACTAAGAGTAGCCTAAGTCTAGTCAAGATTGTATTGTGGTATTGTTTTCAGCACGTGTTTCTTGGAACACTTCGTGCACAATGCCTGAGAGAGACAACCTTCTATTATCCAAACCAGTGTTAAGATACACTCTTAAAAACTTGTTTTTGGATAAAGGAAATATTGCAGTTTTTAACTTGATCCTTGTCCCCTCCCTACCTCCGCCCCCAGATCTTAACTAAACTTCTGGATTTAAACTAAGCAGGTGTCTTTAAAGGTGAAAGAAACAGATAAATTAATTTTCTCAACCACCAGCTGTTGCTGAACTCCTATCACATCTCTGGTGGTGAGTCTGGAGGTCTTTCATTTTTCCACTAACTTAACTGTCAAAGTGAAAGGCAGACTTCTACATGGCATTTCAACACTGTACTGTTTGTCTCTGTCCAGTGTGTTCTGCCCTCCCCTTTCCTTGGCTAAACAAGCACATGGGTGCCTAAAATACTGACTGAAATGGCATTCAGGTTTCGGATTCTCCCATTCTCGTTCTTAAACATCTTCAACTGCAGTGATGGCCATAGGCCTGGGATAGACTTGACCCCAGCAAACCACAGCTTTCCTTCCAATGAACATTATGGAAGCCTTTTGGTCTTCCTCTGTCCCCACCTCCCCCTTTGTGTATGTGAAGTGAGCTTACGGTTTTTAAGGCAAGAGGTATTATGCATGAATGTGTTTGGTCATATGAAGTCACTGGAAATATTTAGGGAATTAGGACATTATAAAAAACTACCTTGAGAAGTAAAATTAACCTTCAGCCTGGACTGAAGTTAGACTTGAAAACCACATTTCATCTTTCTCCTTATTAAGTTAGTGTTGGGTTTCTAATGGAGATTATTTAAGTGCTGGTGATTATTTCATTAACTATAATATGAAAATGAATCAAAACAATCTCTGTCTTTGTATTTTCGTAGGTCATTAATTTTGGGGCAAATGAAAGGAGGCACAAAAAGCATATCTGAACTAATATGTGCCTTAAAAGCATATGATTTATCAAAACCAGGCCTCTTCTGTGTATAATTGGATGTAAAACATGATTTTTCTTTTCTTTGCTCTGCTGCTCTAATTAGAATGGTGAAACTGAAGATCCAGAGGTTTACTCTCCTCACTGGAGAGACTTTTTTACTTGGAATTAAAGCTGGAGACTGTTTGGTCAGTGGTAGACTGAATGACTTGGGAGGCACAGCTGTTTTGTGTTTTTTTTTTTCCTTTTTACAAAGAGTTGAAATACTTCCTCAAGTTTATCAGTTTAGCAAAACTCAGAACTACCTCTTCCCATAATAAGGCAAGTCCTAATCATTAATTTTTTAATCTTGAGTTACAAGACTAAGTTCTTCCTGTTTATCCTTGGAAATTATAAACTTTCTCAGAGAGGGGAGCTCATGTTAATGTTAATTGTTACTTTTATTCTCTACTAAGCTGCTTTTTTTTTAAGGTACTTTATTGTCAGATTTCCTGTTACATTGAGTCTTGATAATTGCTTTATGCGTTTCCTGAATTTAGACATAGGCGTTTCTTAGAGATTCTGAATTGGCATTCACAGTTGATTCAAAGGAGCCATCTCAAATCATACTCAATGGCTCAAATAAATGTAAATCTGTTAAGTACAAGTTATATGGCCATACTATGTTTAGATTCCTTCCCTTGAATTCTGTTAAAATCTGGTATTGTGTAGAAATGGTCCTACTCATGATGCAAAGTAGAGACAATAATCAAAGAGGGAGCTTTTACAGAAAATGCTGAGTTTGAGTCCCACCAACTGCAGAGAGAGGAGGGTAAACAATGAAATAGAAGCCCAAATGCATCACATGTGTTACATCATGTCTCAGGGTTGTGAGGACAGAACTGGATGGAGACAGTATCAGTTCTATTATTACTCTTGACTCCTCTGAGAGGCCCCCATCTGGCCACTGGACAAGTGACTTTGTAGATTAGCTTTTCACTTTTTAAAGTTTATCTAATTATTTCCAAGTGTGAGAGTGATGTGTTAAGGTCAGCCTTTCTTACTGTGTTCACCTACCTTTATTCTCTCTCATTGTGACTCTCCTTTGTACTTAGAACATTTTTCAGTGTTAAAACTTTAATCATAAAGAATTTTTTGTTTTGTTTTTTCCTTAGCATTTCTATTTTAATTATTGCCGGCTTGTACAGACTTGTGACCATTCCTTATGACTTTACTGAAAAGTTTAACAAGGAAGAAAGGTTTGGTCTTCTGAAAAGTATTTCCCTGTGGTGTCTTCACTTGGTCCCTTTTCTTTGTTGTAACAGATTTTGGAATTAAGCTTTCGATGGTTTCCTCGGTTACGTATGGGTTTTATGAAGTGCTATCAAGACCTTTGTGATATGAGTTTCATGTCTTTGTAGGTCAGGTACTAATTTATCTGCTTAATCCTGTTTTAGCCACCAAAGTCCTTGGTACTGTCAAATGGTTCAACGTCAGAAATGGATATGGATTTATAAATCGGTACGTGTGTGTGTATGTTTCTACATTTTAAGTACATGCTTATGATGGGGCACCAGCAGGTATTAATCCTTTGCCATACTTTATTCATGGCTTGTCTAAGCTTTAAGATGTCTAAGCATTCTAAATATTCTCATTGCTAAGCTACCAGTCATTAAATGTTAATTAAAATACATTTCTGGAACACCAATAAATAACTTATTTCATAAAAATCTAGTCACTGAAACAGAAAGGGAGAGAGGAGATAAATCATACAAGTGGGGAGGGCCTTAAGATAATTGAGGCCTTATCATCTGTAATTTCACAGATGGAGAAATGGAGTCTCAGGCTGGTTAAGCAGTGTTCCTAAGGTCACACAGCTAGTGCGTAATGGAGCTGGATCTGTAACCCAGGTCTGGTCCCAACTCCTATGTAGGAAACCGAAGGGTTTTCTGTAAACCATGGTCCCCCTTCTAACCATATAGGAATGAGAACACAGCTGAAAGCTGTTGACAGCATTATGTTTTTATGTGATCTCATTTTCTTTGCTTCCCCTTTTCCCTTCTCCCCACCTCTTTCTGTAAAAAATATTCCCCCAGTTTCTTCCTTGTCTGTTACAGTGGGGGGAGGATGGTAGGGCGGGGTGGTGGTAGGGGTACTGTTTTAAGTTTCAGTGTAAGGAGAGCCTTGTTCACAGCTGTGCCCTGTCCTGCTTTGCTTTCCCTGGGAGGGAAATTTAGGCTCTGATTACCTACCACATGATTTAGAAAGAGAGGAGGGGAGAGGGATGTTTATGTTGGAACTGTACTCGTAGATCTAAGTACTGTGGTAATGTGGAGGGATAAGGTGGGTACTTTAGGGGTTTAGAATTTTTGGATGAGGATTCTGGGCATCTAGGTTTAGAGGATAAACAAGTATTTATGTTGTGTTTGAGGTCTTGGAATCTAAACTCATAAAACATCTGTTCTTTAAGTTTCTCAACATACCCACTACCTTTAATTGTGAGCTTCTGTCTTCCAACAGAAATGACACCAAAGAAGATGTATTTGTACATCAGGTAAGAGGGATAATGAATGTTCCATTTGTTGTGTGAGGAGAGGGGTGTCTGTAATCTGCTGGTGTCCGTTCCCAAAATGAAGGCCTATAAATTATTACTCTAAACTCTTTCTGAGATTCTGTTTTGGCAGGAAAGCTCCATTCCACATTTTAAGATTGGCAAATAAGCTCTTCTGTCCCATTTTATTAACTGTTTTCAGACAGTTTTTATTTTTGCAGTTGAGTGAAGTAATACTCAGACTACTTTATAGTTTTTAAAACCTTTGCTTCTTAACAAAAGCCCTTCTGTTTCCATGTCAGCATCCTGTTCTCCTGACTTCCTTAGTGTTTGGCTGGAACCGAGGTGGCTTGTGCCTGGGTGGGTACCGGTTAAAAGCTCCTCTTTTTAATCAGAGCAGCTCTGACTTGAAGTAAACAGTACAGTGAAGCAGATGGTGAGGGTGTGTATATCCAAGACACGAGAAAACTCCTAATTCCCAGGGTAGTCCTCACTCCTGTTAAAATGAGGCATGGTTAGCACATGTCCAGGTTAAAAGACCTACATTCCCTTAGATTCAAAGGAAATGTAGCAAATGGGTAAAATATGGGAAATATGGGTCTCTCTGCTACAGTTGTCTCAGTCTGTTTACATTATTATCCTAGGATGTTATTTTTTCTATTATGATGTATCTGGGACTTGCCTTACAGAAGAGGTTAAAGGAAGGAATATGTTCCCTTCCTGTTCTTTTGGTACATCTACTTTTCAATGAATTGTCTCTCAAATCTGTGCATGGTTTATACTGTACAAAGGTGCTAATGCGCCAGCACACTTACCTGCCAAGCATCTGGTTTTCTTTGTTTTCCTTTCTTTTCAGGATTGCATGTGTCCTGGGGTGGAATGGGGGTGACTACTGGTATCTATAAGCTGTCTAGCTGTGGTTTCTATCGCTTATATTTCTGCCTGACTGGATATATTTCGGTTGTACCTATATCATATGAGAAGATTTTTTTGTTGTCCAGATACATTGACTTTCAAAGTCATAACAGACTGAAAGCAGTGTTGCTTGTAATGCGTAGAGGTTAATAGACCGTTTGGGGTAAGAACTCTGCATTTGGTGACTGATAGGGTAAGAGGACCTCACACATTTCTGTGCTGGTGGCCGGCTTCGTTAGCCTGGGAGTATATGACCTGGTTCCAGCCCTCATGAGGCTGTTTGGTGAGTCACCTCAATGTGTTGAGGCCTGCCCAGTTTAACAGGAAAAAGGGAACAGCAGGGAGGGGCTGTTTTTGGAATGGCTGAACGTTCAGACTGCGTGTGCATATGTCCTGTCCTGACTGCCTTTCTTCCTCTGTGGGCGACGTCTCTGCCCTATCGGCTCATTCTTTCTCCCCCGCTCCTCCTTCCTCCTGCTCAGAGTAAGGGAAGGGCTGGATTACACATGCCTAATCGCTTTATAAAATAAGGTTGACCTAGTTCCGCAGAAACTCAGAGCCCCTTTAACTAGAGATACCAATTAGAGCGATTCATTGCAGGAATTATGCTCTCTCTTCCTTCCATTGATTGAAGAGGGAGGCCTATTCATAGGCAGATATTTAGGTGCAGATATTTAATATAGGATAATACAGGATAACATCTTCATTAACCTTTTAATGTATTATCAGGGAATGTATAGGGATGAGCTAACAGGAGTGATGTGATAGGAAAAACATTGAATAAATATCATATAGATACAGTACACAGATATGAATTCCACCTAATCCCCCCCATCTTCCCCTAGGCTGTATCTTTATGACCTCAGATAAATCACTTATCAGCAGATAAATCACTTATCAGCCTCATGTTTCCTTATCCATAAAATGGGTTGGGAGGGAGAAAGAGGTCAGAGTAGGAGTAATGTTTTGTTCCTGAGGTAATTATATATATTCTATGAGAAATATCTGAAAAGGCATATTTTATTCCTTTTTTCTTCATGATCCCTCCTCCCCTTTATTTATTTATTTTTGGTATAAAAATCATTTTTTTAAACTGAAGTATCATTGATATATAATCTTATATTGGTTTCACGTATACAACACAGTGGTTCAACAGTTACCCATTTTATTAAATCCTCACCCCCCACTAGTGTGGTTACTATCTATCAATGTAGAAAGATGTTACAGAATCATTGACTATATTCTGCATGCTGTTCCACCGATCCTGTGACCAGCTTATATCATGATTGAGAATTTTTGTGCCCCTTTGTCCCCCCACCCCCCCTTTAAACATTTTTAAATTCCTTTTGAGGTTAGAAGTTTTCTGTTGTCTACTGAAACCTCTGCTCCTAAAATAATGTATTTGTGTGTGTGTGTGTGTGAGAGAAAGAGAGATTTTATGAGGGCATCCTTCCCCCTACCCCCAAGCTACAGACTGAATCTTAGACACTTAAGTGTTTGAGGGAGCTACTTTATCCAGTGTCATGAGTAGGTGATTAGGCTGGGATGGAAGTGTGTAATAACTACACATTCTGTCTAATATATTTAACCACGATGAATTCTGAAGGATGACGTGAGTCAAGAAAGTCGTGTGGAACATAGTTTTGTAGTGTTTTTTGTTTGTTTTGTTGTTTTGGTGACCCAGGTAGTTGGAGAATGATAATTTAAAAAAGAAATGCAAGGTCAACAGTTTCTTCATTATACCCACTAAACGTGAAAGCAGTGAATTCCGTGGCCAATACTGATTTTACACTTCACTTGGAATGTTCTCTTCTCTTGGTAGACTGCCATCAAGAAGAACAACCCACGGAAATACCTGCGCAGCGTAGGAGATGGGGAAACTGTAGAGTTTGATGTGGTGGAAGGAGAGAAGGTGAGACAAAACCCTGTGGTTGGGTATCAAGGCGTGCTGGCACATGGCTTTCTTGTATGGTCAATGCTTTCTCAGGCCCTTATGCATTAACATTAGTTTGGCTTTTTCATAAGAGGAAGAAGTCATGTATAAGTAGAAATATTTTTGGCTACTGAATGTCATTATAAACATTTCTTGATATGTTCTAAAAGGATTTCTTATTTAGTAAATGATGAATCTCTGATGATGATGGGAAAAGCTCATTTCTCAACTTAAAATGACATGTTTTATCATGGTACCAAAGTATTAGGTATAGATTAAAAATTAACTTTTATAGTATTAAAAACAGATGTAAGCTGCTTGGGAGCAGAACATTTCTTTTTATAAGAAAGTTTTCAGGCTGTATTTTTCTTTCTGTACAAATAATATGCAGTAAAAAATGTTTTAATCTCAGTAAAAAAAAGTTCAGAGTTGAACGTAATCATTGTGTTTCCTCTTTAACTTGGATTTTGGAAAGCTGGAGGTGTCTTGATAGACTGTATAACAACTTTATTCAAATGAAGAACAACCCTAAGAAGCAGATGGGTCATCTTGAAGTGTATCTACAGAATTTTTTTGTGCTGTTAAATACTTAAATTCCAATATGAGTAGTGTCCTTTATGGTTTGTTTTTAATCATTTCTATTATAGGTATCAGTAAAACAATATAGAAAAAGAATAAACACCTTTTAAAACCATATGTGGTACAATAGCCATGGCATCTAATCATGGCAGCTGAGCTATAAACAGTGAATGACTTATTAATTTTCATGCTTATTCTTTTTCCATATACCCACACCATTACACAGTTCTCCTTAGCAGCTCTCAAACTGTTCTGTTTCTAAAAGAAAAAAGACTTTATTTCATCTAATGTAGAAATGCAGGTCATTTCCTTATTAATGTGACTCCGGGCTATCTTGCCAACCTCTTGGGGTTTCAAACCATCCACCAGCAAGTGCTGGTCTGCAATGATCTCCGATAGCCTGTCCAACTTACACAGTTTGTTGTGCGGGTTAATTTTGCCTCTGTATGTTTTCAGAACTTGAGGTTCTACAAATGGATGGATAGTATGTGAAATAGATTCTTTTGAATCTCCTTTGTGTGAATTTTTTTATATTTCGGAGCATTATTTTGTCCTTTTGTCCATATGAGAATATGAAAGCCACGTCTGTTTCAAGAATAATAAGAAGGTCTAAAGGGAACCACATTTGTGGACAGGAGGCATTACTACATCAAGGATGCTTCTTTCCTGCTGCTGCCAAGATGGGAGAAGTTTCATTCTTGACAACTCAGGGCTGGACAGAGCCATGTGGGCCTATGAATTAGGGGTTCTTTTAATACCTCAGACTAACACAGGTTTTAACATTTTTTAGGAAGGTGACCCTATCTCAGTTATTTTCCACTGAGGAATATTCTTCCTGTTCTACCATTACTTCTCTTAACAGTTATACTTACCAGTTTATGTTCTTTAAAGAGGTATTTTACTGCTCTTATACTTAGTATAACCAAACTAGAAGGCAAAGTTTAAGTTGGGTGAGCAAACTAAACACTTAAATAGGGACCTTAAGCACCACAGGCACCTTATTCAACCCTGTGGTGCTGTGGAGGTCACAATAGGAATTGTTAGTTAATTCTGCCGGTCTTTAACACTCCAGCTGTCCAAGGCAGTTTTGGGGGGTTAGTTTAGCTTCTTTGTAATTTTGAGGCCATCTTTATTTTATTTCTTAGGGTGCAGAAGCAGCCAATGTGACTGGCCCGGATGGAGTTCCTGTGGAAGGGAGCCGGTATGCTGCTGATCGGCGCCGTTACAGACGTGGCTACTATGGCAGACGCCGTGGACCTCCCCGTAATGTATGCTGCCCCTCTCCCTCATCACCGATTGAGAAAATTTTCATGTTTAAAATTAACTGTGCATACTTGGAGCAGGTAGATAAATGCTATATCTTCTTCTGGAGAGAAAAAAATGATTTTTTTTTTTGATGGGATATTTTTAGTGCCCAGAACTTACTGAAAGCAGTGGGTTTCATTGGAAATTTACCATTCAGGAGTTGTATCAGTTTGTATGTATTGGGCTACAAGGGACAGACATTAATTATCTTATAACAAGAAGGTTTAATTAAGGTAGGCTGCGCCAAGGTTGTCAAAAAGGCTTTCTCTTCACTTAGCTCTTTTATCTGGCCAGAACCTAGTCATGTGGCATTCACTGGCAAAAGGGAATGGGATTTCTGTGATTAGCTCAAACCTGTTGTTTATCCCTTGGCACTAGCACTGTTGACCTCTAAGAAAATCAGCATTTGGTTGGCAGAGAAGAGTGGGGAATGGCTCCTGAATAGGCAACGAACAGTGCTGGACATAGAAGTATTAATAATTTTCCTCGATTATGTAGCTGTTTTATTTAGCATAGCATTTTCCCATTATTTCAAAGTAAAGCAACAAGTCATTCTTGGGGTTTTTAGTTCTCTAGATTGATTGGTACCAATCCAGGTGAAAGGGTTTATAACCAAGTCTGGCTGGGTCTTTCTTAGGAGCTTCAATTTCAGTTATTCTCAAGGCACCTCCCCCTCCAAAAAAAAGTCCCATCCATCTGTGGTCATGAGCATCTCATTAGATTTGAGTCATTTTTTTAGACATTTCTAGAATCAGTACATGTGTTTGGCCATATAGAGTGAAACCCAAGGTGCTTTGTGAGCATAGGATTGTGGCTGTGTGTGTCATGCAAGGAAAATGGGGAAAATCTCACTAGGATAAAATATATGCCGACTGAAGATGAATATGCTTTTGTAGATCTCTATCTTTCTGCTTACCTAAATGCTTTCCCTCTTCATCCTGTCATCATCACACCCTGCCCAAACTGATTATCAGACTTCTTGTGACATCTCATTTTTTCTGTTTCTATATTTTTCTTATCCATATCTTGCTTATCCTATTTGATTTTTAACAACAAGCCGTGCGGAGGCAGGATAGGGACGCACTGCTATAAGCACTTACTGTGCCCAGTAAGTCCGGGTCATCAGAGCCATGGAGCTCTGGTTGGGGTTATTTGGATTCCTAGGTTAATTTAGAAGTAAGAGTGGTAGAAAACCTAGTAAAAAAATGTCCTTCAAAGACTTTTCTCCTCAGCTGAAAATTCTGAAGCCATGCATATATATAAAAGATACTTAGAAATGAAATTTTCAGAATTCAGGAGGCACACACAAAGGAAAGTTTTCTGTTGTTCTTTAAGTACTGATGGCCTGTTGAGTATCTCTCAAGAGCATGTTTGGCATTTACGGGGCCATTATTGTAATTTTGTGAAATCTTAATGAAAGATTTAGCTGTATAAATCTCAAAAAGAGATGCAGAAAAGCCTAAAAAGAAAGATTCGGTCTCACGTTTAATTTTAGTGGACCTCAGTTTCTGTGCCAATATGTCTGCACAATTAGGGTCGCATCTGGTAAGTTTCACAAAGTGTTAAATGGCTTGATTTTTCTAAAGTTAGACTAGTTGAGGCTGTAGTTGAAGCTTTTCCTCTTTGGGAATCTAGTTGTTCATGTGAACTTCTTCCAGAGGGTTCTAAATCTTCAATAACCATCATCCCCCCCAAAAGTATGGGTTATTATTTTGTTAGGTTTTAACTTATTCTTTTTTTAAAAACTAGTTACTTCCCTTAAGACTACCTTTGGTATTTACATGTCCATACTCTTTAAAGTAAGATATGAAATTAAAAAAAAAAAAGAGGCAAATTTGGCTGTTTTTATTTTTTAATGTAAAATATCAGTATGTGATATGGTAGTTTAAATTCAGGGAAAAAAAGAAAATGGATTAATAATTCCGTTTCCTAATAAAGTTGATATTGAGAAACTGTCTATATCTCTTACTATCTATTACTTAAATGCAATTGAAACTTTATTCCTAAACATATAAAGAGAATCACATCATAAGTCATGATTCTCAGACTTTTTGGGTTTTAGACCCTGTATTCTTAAATATTATTAAGGAACCAAGAGTTTTTGTTGATTTGTGTTTATATCTTAATATTTATTGTGCTAGAAGTTAAAGCAAAAATGTAAAAGATTTAACTGATTAAAAATAAGCTCATTTCATGTAAATATAAATAACATTTTTTATGAAAACTGTATTTTTATATTGAGTGAGCAGAAAGGTATTGCTTTATATATTTTTGCAAATGCTTGGTATCTGCTTTAATATTCTCCTATCTCCTTCTGCATTCACCCTGCAGAGACACCATATGCCCTGTAGCTTTTGGGAGAGGCCTCCTCATAGTCATGAGAACGAGAAGGGGAAAAAGCAGTTAGCATCTTGTAGCATTATGAGAATAGTTGGACTTGGGTAAACCCTGGGCAGGGTTTCACAGACCCCATTCATGATTTGAAAACCAATGCAGGAAGTATATACCACTTAGGACAAAACTGTTGATAGACCACAAAATCCACATATCATTTGTGACTCCCCAAAAGCTTAACTACCAGCAACCTGTTGTTGACTGGAAGCCTTACCAATAACATCAGCAGTTGATGAATACGTGTCCTGTATGTTACATACATATTCTGTATGTTTTTTCAAATTGCCGCAGATTTCCAAAAAGTTTTACAATATATTTATTTTAAAAAGTCCACGTATATATGGACCCACACTTTTCAAACCTGTGTTTGAAGGGTCACCTGTAGATGACTACTACATTCATTATAGACTGATTGCTTATGCTTTTTTGCTTTCTGGGATTTTATCTGCGCAAATTTACTTTAATCTTAATGTAATTTATCCCAGGCAATCAGATGATACTCTGGGTTAAATGCATTTTGTCTGAATAATACAAGGGGCGATCCCTTTGGGGGAGATTTTTTTTTTTGCTTTTGGTGATATTCATCCTAAATGGTATTCTTTGGTTCTTTCCTCGCTGGAACCTCTTCTGAACCTCTGTTTCTTTGCTTCGCTAGTACGCTGGGGAGGAGGAGGAGGAGGGGAGCGGCGGCAGTGAAGGATTTGACCCCCCTGCCGCCGACGGGCAGTTCGGGGCCCGGAGTCAGCCGCGCCGCCCCCAGTACCGCCCTCAGTACCGGCGGCGGTTCCCGCCTTACCACGTGGGACAGACCTCTGACCGTCGCTCACGGGTCTTTTCCCACCCCAGCAGAATGCAGGTAAAATTGCACCTGGGACTCCTCTTGAGCAGTTCTCACCCCTCCGTCCTTCCTCTGCTCCTCTTCCTCCTCCACCACCACCAGCCGCTGGGAATAAAACCTTGCTTGTGGCTTCCTGCCGCCACAGAAGCTGAGACGAGGCTTCCCCCGCTTCTAATCGCAGCAGTCATTCCAGAACCCTTCTAAAAGCACAGCCCCAGGGGCCATGCCTGTGACTGGGGACCCTGCTGGACCGGGTACAGTTCTCAGTTTATAGAAAAAAAGAAAGAAAGGAGAGGCCAGATGGTATATTCGTAAGAGCTTGAACTCTGAAGTCCGCCGGGCCCGGGTTGGAATGTTGTCTCAGCTACTTACCATCTGTGAGCTTTTGAGAACACCAGACTTCATAGAGAGATTAACTTGTCCCTACATTAAATGGGGATGATGTGCCCCCACCACGGGGCTGACGATTCAATCAGAGGTAAGGACTTTACTCGCAGTGTCTCAGGATAGAAACATCCATAAAGTCCTTAATTTAGGTGGTGGTGTTGGTTATTAGGGGAACCTAACACCGAATGAAGATTGTCAACTATTGGTTGATTCTCCTTTTTCTGCTACAAAATACTGATGCAGCTGTTGTGAACGTGACCTGTAATTAATAAGCCTTATACCCACTTGGCAGTGCCCAGGAAGCTTGGAGAATTCCGGATAGGGCGTCAGGTTTGTTACCACCAGCCACAACTTTTTCCTCTCAAGTGTCTTTGGTTTCTGGTGTTTGTTTTTTTGTTTTACTAAGTGTCTGACTGAACGTGATGTTCAGTCCGCTCTTCACTCCTCTCCTCCTACCCCGGCAGGCATGACTGTGCTCTTTCTGCACAGGTTCCACCCTGTAACAGCTGTCCCTGACAAGTGTGCTAAAAATAACAGGCAGACTTACATATGTTGTGAGATTGGATACATGAGGCATAGTAGGTTTCTTTAGGGCAGTTCTCTGGGCTTCTTGGAAGTGAGGACAGGAAGAGTCAGATTGAAACACACATTTATTTTTAGTGCATTAGGAGTACCTTCCTGACATAATCGTTCTTTATATTTAGCATATACATACATATTGTATGTTCTGAGAACAGGATAATCCTTTTCTATATTGCCTGAATAAAGTATATTTCACCTTAGGGATTGAAGGTTCAGAGCAGAGTGACCCTTTAGGGCCACATAGAACATCATTTGCAGACACTGGTTGAAAACTAAAAAATTGTGAAAAACATGTGCTTATTCTGATAATGGCATTTAGTTGTTTTAACTTAGGCTGAATCCCTTACCCACTCCATATCTAAAGTAAAAGCTGTCTTAGATCCCTTCAACAGTTTTTCCTTTGGCTCTTTCTCATGCATATACTGTGTGTGTTCAGTGACTAAGACGTCTGCTGAAGCTAATCATCAGCATCAGATGAAAATTCTTAAACCTTTCTTCCATGTAACTAGGCTACTTCAAGATTGTCAGTGTAATAATGGCTTAAAAACAGATCTCTAGGATGGTAAAGATTACTGAGATCAAATAGAAGTCTTTGCCTACATTGTCTTATTATATTCAAAACTATGAAATTTATTGGACACAGTAGGAATACAATGGTAACTAACATACAAGCCAGTCGTGTTTCCCTTACAACTGAAGGACATAGGATAGCATGATTCATGAGTGACCAAATGATTTCCACTTTTTAAAATATAATAATTCTGCATATTCAAAAATTAAGTAGAACTGGTTAGTGAGCTAATGTCAACTCTGTTGTCTTGAGAAAAGTATTTATGTGATAAAAAGGAAAGGGAATGACATTGTTCAGCAGCTGCAAAGGGGCAGACATTTAAAATCAATTCTTATTCAATCTTCCCTGTTGTGTTAAGAAGTTGGGATGATTTCTATATTTTAATTTTTTTATTGTTATAAATGTAGAGATTTGAGTACTTCCTTGCTCTTAAAAACTAGCAGCGTTTACCTAAGGTTCCATGGTGTGAAGTGGTAGAGCTCGATTTAAACTCATTTGTCGTCCCATGCTATTCCCCTTCCACCATTCGAGTGAACTCTCGCCCTTGTACATGCTACTCGCTGTTTCTGTGTGTCTGTGTGAGTGAAAGCTCCTGTGGAAGAAGCAGCTTTGCTGTTGAAAGAACTAAAGGGAGGCTCCTGTGTCCAGGGGAGTATGCGGGAGAAGAGAGGCTAGGAGGTGAGATTAGGGTGATATTGTAGGCAGACCAAGCATGCCTGGTAGGTGATGATAAGGACCGTTGAGCTACTCTAAATGTGATGAAGAGCTGGTGAGGGCATGTAAACAGGGCAGGAACAAAGTTGAGAGACCATCGGACTGTTGGTGGAGGCCAGACCACAGGAGGCAACAGTTAGGCGACCAGCCCCTCTGATCTCCCTGTGGAGAGATGATCATGGGGTGGAATAGAGTGCTGGCGTGGATATATGAAAAGTGGTGAGATTTTGGACATTTTTAAACATAGAAATGACAGCATTCTGATAATGGAATGAATGTGTCATGTGAGGAGTAAAGGATACCTCTGTGGTTTTTTTGATTTAAACAAATACAGGACCACTGAGGAAAGATCAGGTTTGGAGGGAGAAGTGGAGATCATTTGGAGGTTTTTTTCCCCATTTTAAATTTTATCTCCAAGTGGTGATACCAAGTAGGCAGAAAAATGAAATAGAGGTGTAATTTTAGGTAAGGTAATTGACAAAGTCCTTGGGGTTATATTTGAGAAGAGACCTAAATGAAGTAAGGGAGCCAGTCTTTCAAGTGCTGGGAAGGGCACGAATGGCCAGTATTGAGGTACGGGGGGCTCCAAAGGGGAGAAGTGAGATCACAGCACAACTTCGGAGTCATAGGAACATATAAAGGCCATGGTGCAGGATGAGATTAACTAAAAAATGAGTGTAGGCAGAAAACTGATCCTAGAACTGAGTTCTGGGGCACACCGGCAACTGAAGATCAGGAAAATGAGGAGTCGACCATGGGACAAGGAGAAAGGGCAGATGGGGGGGGGTACCTTCAGGGAAGGGATGCTGTGTGAAATGCTAGTGGTGAAGAGAGCGTGTTAGGCGGAGATGTGATTACTGGGCCTGGTGACTTGGACATTAGTGGTGTGATTAAGGACAAAAGTCTGATCATAATGAATTCAAGAGAGCAGAGGGGAGGAAGAAGAGGTATTATATTCCTCATGGGGGCAGTTTCTGTGGTACTGGTGGTTTTCCTCTTAGTATGGATGTCTATAAAGAAGATCAAAGAAAAGGGGCAGTAACTCAAGGAGGATATGAGGTCAGGCAAGGGTTTTGTTTGATTTGATTTGATTTTTATGCTGAGCTCTCTCCTTGTCACCTGTACCCCTTCCCTCACCAACAACTGACTCCTGAGACCATTAGATGGGCAGATTGAGTATGCCAACACACACACACACACACACACACACACACACACACACATGTATGTATAACATGTAGTGTGTATATGTGTGTATATATTTGTCCCTTATTTCTGTCTACTGAAGTGCTGGCAGGCAGTGACACTTTCATAGCATGGAGCATACCTGGCACCCAGTTTTTCATTTCCTGGTGCCGTCCTCCAGTGAAACGATGCTCCTTTGGAGAAACGGCTGATTTCAGAGCTGGGCCAGAGAAAGTACAATGTGAGCCTGGAACATCTTGTTGTGCCAGAAAGCAAGGAAACACTCAAAGAATGTTGGAGGCATGTCAGAAGGACATGAGCCAGCTTGAAAGGCTTCCCATTGGCCAGTAATGATAGTAACAGATTATAACTCATTGAATAAAATAGAAAGCCACGAGTCTATACAGATATAAATAAATAAATGAATATGTTGAGAATGTGATTAGTGATGAGAAATTTCCAGAGTCTGAAAGTACTGCATCACAGAACCCTCGCTCATCACAAAGGGGGAGAGGGTAAACCTGCAGGGGAGGAGCCCCGGCCGGCGCCGCCTTCGCGCGGCCCAGACATCGTCGGGAAAGTGAGACCCAGGCTGAAGCTGCCCGCCGGCGGACAGGACGCAGAGAGGAGAATGCAGCGCCACCCCTGTGGCTTCCCTGCCGAAGATGCACGAACTAAGTCGTGAGGAAACAACGAGCAACCCAATCTGAGGGATACTTCTTCACACAGCGACCAGTGTGTCGTCGTTAAAAGTGTCAAGGTCACGAGAGCCAAGATTGAAGAACTGTCACAGACAGCAACCCCGGTGCATGGCTCTGGGGGCGGGGTCTCTTCTCTAAAGGCCGTTACTGGGGCGACTGGCAGAACTTGTAGACTCTGAGGGTCACATTAGACTCTTATCTGTGCTTCCAAATGTTCTTTAGTTTGTGATTATTTCAGTCTTTTAAAAACCGAAAAGATGGATGCTATTTTGGCATGTTTATATGCCTGGATGGAAATGATGGAGAAAAGAAGGGAAAAGATACATAGGGAAGGAGAGAGAAATAGTAAAGGTGAGAGGGGCAGGCTGGTTTTAGATGTGAGCATGAACCACTTGTCCAGTGTAATGAGAGAGAGGAAAACTAATACAAATGTAGGTTGGCTGGTAGGTGTGGTGATGAAAGAGTGTGGAAATTCTTTTCTGATTGCCTCCCTTTCTAGTGAAACATGGAGAAGGAAGGGATGTTAGTTCTGAGGGGAAAAAAGGTTGAGATGTGGCTATATTGTGAAGAATTTCAGAGGTTGCTTGTGAGTTTTTGTGTTTGTCAGTTTTTAATTGTTCTTTCTTCCCTTGGAATTTCTACAATAAATTAATTGTATTCCCCCAGCTTAAAATAAATGAAATTCATCAGTAAAGTATATTTTATTTCTGTAAATGTTATACTTTAGTAAATAATGCAAACAGATGAAAGGAAAAAGTTGTGAAAGGAGGAAATCAGGGGGGAAAGCTGTGTTGAAGAGGTGTGGGGGAACCTTTGAGACAAACCATTAATGGTGTTGAAGGACACCTAGTTTGTAGAATTAGTGAGTCCAAGGCTTAAAAAATGGAAAAGATTCTCATTGCTCAAATGTAGTGTACCATTCCATTTCCTTTTATAATACAGGCATTCTTTTAAGAGATGAATGGACACTTCAAAATGTTAATACTATGAAATAAAATTAAGTGCTCTGAGATAAGGCTGAAGAGAGTTCTAGTGGGGAAGAGATTTTCTTTCTTATTCACAAAGAACAAATCAGTAAATAATTCACCAATGTAGTGGAGAGTTCCCAACTGATTGGTTACTGAGTTCTCCAATAAAATCAAGCATTTTATTTTTTGCTTAAAAAAAAAAATCAGAATGCAACTGTGTGCTCTGTGTCTCTTAGTTCTGGCAGCGTGACCCTCATTTTTTGCTCTCATTGCCTTCTGCCAGGCTGGTGAGATTGGAGAGATGAAGGATGGAGTCCCAGAGGGAGCACAGCTTCAGGGCCCGGTTCATCGAAATCCATCTTACCGCCCAAGGTACCGTAGGTAGGTAAGGTTTCCCCATAACCAAGGACAGGCCGAAGGGCTGGTGAGCAGCGTAGAATGGCCAAGGATGTCGTGGGTCTGTTTAGTGGATTCATTATGTAATTAAAATACATGGCTGCTTTGACTGTATGTCCAGGTGTTTGGGTGGCTCTCCGGTATATGTTCCCAGATCTGTGTGATGCTTCCCCCTTATTTAACAATTAGAATTCTTATTATCCCCATACCAAAGCATTATTTGTATTTGACAACTTCCCATGTTATAAATTAATATCTAATTTTTATTATAGTTAATGAAGTAAACTAATTGATGGGTAATTCAATGGTAGTGCTACACATGGAGGAAGAATTGAGTGTCAGAGAGTAGTTGGGGTACTGAGTATTTTCTGATAACCAAGGAATTTTAATATCAGGGTTAAATCAGCTACAGATCAAATTGTATGTAAATTTGCACCCTGCAGTTATCTCCTCTATGTCTTTTGGCAAGTTTCTGGACTCTCTAAGACTTAGTTACCAGATCTATAAAATGGACATTAAAGAATATTCTACAGTTATCAGTTGGATTGTAAGTACTGGTGCCTCTAAGCCGATTAGTATAGTAAGCCCTCAATAAGCATTAGGTACTATTACAGCTAGTGATGTTATTATTAGTAAAGGAGTGGGTTATTTTACTTGTGCATTGTCTCTTGTGACTTCTGAATTGGACTGGACTCCCTAAGGTCCTCTTTAACGTTTCTAACGTGCTAACTTTCCCTGGTCCTTCACATTATCCTTGAGGCAAGTGAAAAAAGCAGCTTCATTCCTATGTGACATTATACCACCTTGAAGTTAGCAGTGTGAGTTTATTGAGAGGAGACTACATATATCATTTGGAGGAAGAATTTGTACCTCTCTATATCCTTTTTCCTCACAAGATTCATTCCAGTTTTAGACTCAATCATTCTAATGGTTAGCTACTTAGGACTTCAGAAATAAGAGACTTCATATAAATGTCTGAAAACAGAAATGCAACAGTGGTATGTGTGAATCCCAGCCCTTCAATCTCAGGCCGTGCCATCTTGGGGAAGTTCTGTTTGACCTTTTTATTTTCCTCTCCTTGACCTTTTTATTTTCCTCTCCTCAGTGCCTGTCAAAATGCCTGGTAGGACCCTAATATGCATTAAGTATGTTTGCTCACTACAAATGGACAGTCAGATGAAGGGGGAGAATGATGGAAAAATATATTCTTTTCATCAAACATTTGTTGCAGTAGCTTATACATAATTCTAGCAATAAGTACTGATCACTTGACATTTTCATCTTTAAAAATAAACAAACCTGGGTTCTTGACTCCATCCAGTTGTGCTTGCTCTCTCTCTCCGCTCCGTGTTCTCTGCTCCAGGGGCCCCCCTCGCCCGCGACCTGCCCCACCTATTGGAGAGGCTGAAGATAAAGAGAATCAACAAGCGGCCAGTGGGCCAAACCAGCCACCTGTTCGCCGTGGGTACCGGCGTCCCTACAACTATCGGCGTCGCCCCCGCCCTCCTAATGCTCCTTCACAAGATGGCAGAGAGGTAAACCCGACCAGCCAGAAGGGGCACTGCCAGCTCATCTGGAATCATGTCAAACTGCAGTGCTCATGCTCCTTTTCTAAGAGTCGTTTTACAATCTGGTGACTGACATATATACACACAGACACATAGATATATATCATCTTATATAATGTTATTTATAATATAGATATATTTACATAAAACTTCATATAACATATAAAGTATATATTTTACATATATATCATATGTAATATTTCACTTAAGATCCATAGAGAGAGACAAAGAGTGTATGCCCTGCACATAACGGAGGCTAAATATTTGAATTCGGCCAATTACAGTGGGGATTCAGAGCTGAAACATTTAGGGCTATTCAAGCAAAGGACAGCATTTAGAGAGTAATGTGCCTCTAATTGCCCTTAGTAACCATGTGTCGAGAGCAGCTGTCTGTCATTGACTTTTTGTTACAGAGAGCCGTGGCGTTTAGTTGCCATTTGGAGGTTATTCTTCTGTGGTACTAAGATTTGACTCGTACTTAAGAATAGTTAAAATTTTGTACCATGATTTACCTTCACAGGCAACAAGATTCCAACTTACGAGACCTTTCAGTCTTGAACTTTGCGCTGTCACCTGAACTGATTCCTTTCTGGTTTGTGGTTTTGTGATTTAGACCAAGGCAGGTGAAGCTCCATCTGAGAACCCGGCTCCAGCCCCCGAGCAGAGCAGTGCTGAGTGACGGCCGGCTCCCCAGGCACCCCCACCATCAGCAGGTGAGAGCTCCGGAGCTCAGGCTTGAGCTGATACTTTCTAAAGTATTGCTGATTTCTCAACAGTAGCACCAATCTGTGTGAACGAGTTCTGCATTTATCTGGGCCCAAACCCTTATCTCCATTGGGATTCTGGAGAAAGAATGGTTTTGGGGGTTAAATATCTCTGGGATTGACTTTATTTTGCTATGCTTTGGGGGCATAAACATTCAGAGAGTTAATGGTTGTCAAATTCTTTTTTCTAAGCAGACAATTTTTAACTACTAATACCACTTAAACTTCTAAAGTTTTACTTCTGTGACACCTAGTGACCAATTTGATAATTTTAAAGTGCATGATAAGGTCTCATTTTAATCACAGGAGATGGGGGTCTATAGAATAAACTACAGTGGTCTTTTCTTCTCTTTTCAAACCCTTGATGATCAACATTATTTTGAGGCAGTGCAGTATAATGTGTGAGAGCGAACAGGCTTATATACCCAGTGCAGGATCTACTACTCATTTGTAGATGCTGCTGGTAAACTAGACTTACCCACTAGCATTGTTGCAAAGGTTTAGTGAGATAACACGTACGGGGTGCTTAAACAGGGCCTGTTAAAGAACAACCTCTCCATAAAGGTTAGCTTGTTTTCTTCATTGTTGTTTCCTCCTTTTTTCTGTCTTGTATATATCTTGAAAATTTTATTTAGATAGATAGAAATGTAACTAGAAAGACTAATCCAATTATGGAGCCAATCTTAAAAGAAATGTAAAATCATCGTTGGTTTAGTTGTGGGTTTCTCTCCTTAGTAATTCCTGGGACTTTAGTTTTTAATATTTCTTGGTGGTTGCCCTTTTCATTGAATAAATAAGGAATTATCTTTTATTTAAAAGAAAGGTTGTAAACTGATCAGTGTTATTTTTCAAAAATTGTTGAGACTTCATGGAGTTCTGAGATATTTAACTTTCTACTTTTTAAATGCCATCTGCTTTTATATGCAGTGGTTTGGGGTTTAAATCAGCCTTTCATTAGGTGAACATTTGCTACACTGCGAATATTCTATTTTATCTCTGGGTAGTGTGGGCAGTTTATCCTAGAGAAAGCTTGCTGTTCAACCATTAGCTTATAATTATTTATCACTTGGCCAAAACCTTTTATTTAGTAACAATGTTTCTAGGTATTGTGCCCAAGGAAGTAATCCAAAATTCAGGGAAAAAATATTTCTATTTACAATGTGTTTAACATTGGGGAAGTGGCTAAATATTGTAGTATATCTGCATTAGGAGATATTGTACAGCCACTAAAATGATTATGAAGAATTAATGCTATAGTATTATGCATTTGAAAAGACTTCATGATGGTAATTTTCCTTTATATAATCTTACAAAATTTTTACTATTATGTACTGACTGTTCTGGTTGGTAAAACTATTTTATTAAAAAGCACAAGTTTCCATTAAATTAAGGTACAGTCTACAGACAGACAGACATGTAAATTTTGTTTAGAACATCTGAAGTATCTTTTCAGAATTATGTGAGAATTCTTTTATCTTTACTTTTTCTTCTTTAACTCCTGGTCATTGTGTGTCACTCCAAATTTGCTTTTAATTTTTTCCAGGTGACCTAAAGAATTAATGACCATTCAAAAAATAAAACAAAGCCAAAAGCAGACCATGACCTTACCAACACCAAAGAAACGTAACATCCAAGCAATAAAATAGAAGATATAACCAAGATATGGACATTAGAATGTTTACTGTTATTCTTTATGAAACAAAACAACTAAAAAAGGAAACAGCCCGTATTTCCAGCAAGCTGAGATCCTGGGAATGCCTGCACAGAAACGAGAGAGCAGCTACCCCAGTTGCAGCAACCACTAGGTTTATATATTTTTTTTTCTGGTTTTTACTGTTTTGGTAATATAAATTGAAAGAAGAAATATTTTACCACCTGGGAGAACCCCAACCAAAGAAATCTGAAATATATAGTAAATATTTTTTTTTTCCTTTTTTGTTCATTTTGGATGCTGGTGCTAAAGTTCCAAGTGTGATTAAAAATAAATTTTATGCCCTTATTTATTTCTAGGATGAGGGGAGGATAACATTTCTGCTTTCTTATGTGACTCTCTTTGAAAATGAATGTGCAGTATGAAGTTCCTCAAAAATAAAATTTTTACTCTTGAAAAGAAAGTTGTGTGACTGGAGTATGTTTTCCTGGCTTGGTGTATGTTTCTTTTTCCTCCACTTCATTCTCTTGGCTTAATAGTAAACTCAAAGCCAAATGTGAAAGATGGATTAGTACTGTTTAATAAATGCAGACATGTGAGTCTGGGAGCGTAGGAAGTGGGATTCCTTTTGGAAGGTATGGCTGGGAATGAACAAGTTCATGTCCGAGTCTGGTGACAGGCCGGCTTTATTTGGTACTCTTATCTCGAGTAATCTTCACCAAGGTGACTTGAATTAACATCCTTGAACATCCAACCTGAGGATTTCAGTACCAGCTGTGTGTGTATATGATTGGCAAACATGCAAATATATGTAGAGGAGAGGGGTTTTAATTGTGGTTACCCTAGCATTAGATCTGTCAGTTTGTAAAATCCTATGGGTAACTTTACTGCCCAGCCAGTCCTCTCTTCTACCGTCACCCTCTGTTCCTGCTCATTTTAAAGCAGTTTAATTATGGAGCAGTTCAAACATGTATTTTTAATGAAAAAAATGTACCATATGCTTTTTGGCATGGAGATTCTTTTTCGACTAAGTCGTGTTCCATTATCCATGTGTGTACAGCCCTCCCATCATTTGTCCTGGCTGCATGACTTACAGTTATATAGCTATCCATGATCTTGGATATAGAAATTTTTGAAAAATTGAAACTATAAACATTTTATCTCGTATAATTCCAACAGCCTAACCTCTAAGAATCATCCATCTCAGGATCACAGCTATTCTATTTCTAGAGAAAGAAAATGTAACAATAAAAGCAAAGAATTGGGCAAAAGATAACTTTGGCAGCGAGTATAAGTACAACCCTAAAAGATGGGTTGCAGAAACAGTAAAAATCAAACTGGGTATGATGTGAGGATTGGTCTGAAATAAGGTCTACACCAGGGTTTTGGGAACTTGAATTCCTTTGTCACGAGACTCCTGCTATCTGGGTGGATGCACAGTCAGCGATTAACTAGAAGGCTGTGCTACCGTGATGTCACTGAGCTGTGATTGGCATCAGTTTGAAGCCCATGAGTCCTGCCTATTTGATGGAACAGCACCTATTGAGACAGTAGCCCTACACAACTCAAAAATTTTGAGTGCCAACTGTTTTCTAAGAGTGATGCATACCTTCATATCACAAATACTCCAAATGCAATAGTACTATAAAGCTTGTGTGTTTATTGCAAAGATGCAATTTCTGAAAGTATTTTTGCTCGTAGTGGAAAAATACAAAGACTAAATACTTGGACATGTTAAAGGAATAAAGTTCTTTAAATCTGAAAACTGACACAGATTGAAGCTTCTGGGAACTAGTGCTTTATTTCAGTTGAAAAGAGGAATAAACAATCTTCAGAGGAGTGTTTTTGTATATCATGGGATAAGTTTTTCTTTGCAGGAGCAATCTAGAAAGGAAATGTGCTGATGTAAATATCTGAATATTGGGTAACTTTATCAGTGGGAAGAAGGATAAGACCTCAACTGTCATTTTCCCAGGATGAAAGCATTTCAGCTGATAAACTAGCTCTATGATCACCCAGATTTTCAGAATAGGGTTGGGAAACTAACAACTGAAATCCACACTAATAATGTGACACAAGCTGCCTAAGTTCGCCAGTGCCTCCTTACACCTGTGTATTTGGGGCAGTATTCTATTGTAAGGAGTATAGAATGAAGACATGAGATGAGAAGAAATCACTACTTTGTTAGTACCACCGTGTCATCCTTTCCTATACTGGTCTTCTCACTGTAGTTCATGGAGGATTTCACATGTCGGGGCTCGGAGACCCCTGTGCTTGCTTCATGGATATGGCACCACTGCTCCTATCAGCTGAGAACAGAACTTCCCAAGTCAAAAACACTGGCAAGAGTGTGCGTGTGCATGTGTATTTTATTACCTTAAAAAATTCCTACACTATTTTCCAGAATGACTGTTGCAGTTGAATTGTGTCCCTTTGAAATTCGTATGCTGAAGTCCTAACCTCCAATACCTCAGAATGTAACCAGATTTGGGTATCAGGTCTTTAAAGAGGTGATTAAGCTAAAATGAGACTGGTAGGGTGGGGCCCTAATCCAATAGGACTGGGTTCCTTTTAAAACACAGACACTAGGAATTTACAAGAGGGCATCCGTCTGCAAGCCAAGAGGCCTCAGAGATACCAAGCTACCGTCACTTTGATCTTGGACTTCCAGCTCCAGAAGTGTGAGGAAATAAATCTGACGTTTAAGCCATCACTCTGGTGGTTTGTTACAGCAGCTTTAGCAAACTATTGTAATAGCTGTTCCATTTTACACTGTCAGCAATAATGTATGGCACGTGGAGTTCCTTTACCTCCTTGTCAGCATTTGGCATTGACACGTTAACAATTTCAGCTCTTCTATACCGTGTGTGTGGTGATATTTATTGTGGTTTTAATTTATATTTCTCTAATGGCTGATGATACTGAGTATGTTTTCATGTGCTCATTTGCTGTGTGTATATCCTCTCTGGTGAAATGTCCATGTCTTTCATAAACTTTTTGATTAAGTTGGGTTTTTGTTTTTTTTCTTTACTGTTTGGATTTTGAGAATTCTTTATGTAATCTAGACACGAATCCTTTATCAAGTATGTGTGTGTAAATGTTTTCATACAGTGTGTAGCTTGTCTTTTTTATCTCTTAACAGTGTCTTTGTAGAGCAGAAGTTTTTGAATTTGACAAAGCCCAATTTATTGTTTTTCCTCTAGGGTTTGGGCTTGTGGTGTCATGTTTAAGAACTCTTCACCTAGAGGTCTTGAAGATTTTCTTCTGAAATAATTTTTGTATAAGCTGTGAGGATTAGGTTAAGATTCAAATTTTTGCCTATGGATGTCTAATCATCCCAGTCCCATTTTTTGAAAAGGCTATCCTTACTTCGTTATATTGCTTTTAAACCTTTACTAAAGCCCAGTTGGCCATACTCATGTAGATCTATTTCTAGGGTCTCTATTCTGTTCCACTGGTCTAGTTTGTCAGTTCTACTACCAATAAGACCTTGTCTTGATTAATGTCAATCTTAAAATTAGGTAATTTTATTATTTTTCAAAATTACTTTAGGTATTCTCGATTTTTGCCTTTCTGTATACATTTTGGAATAGGCTGTTCTATTTCTACAAAAAATCTCGCTGGGATTTTGAAAGGAAATGTATTAAGCCCATACATCAATTTAGAGAGAATTGACAGTCTTCTAATCCATGAACATGGGATATCTCTCCATTCAGATCTTTAGTTTCTTTCATCAGCATTTTAGTTTTAGGCATACAAATCCTGTACATGTTTTGTTAGGTTTGTAGCACTGATTCCTGCGGGCCTGCTCTGGAATAAAATTAGCGTTCCAAAGAGTGATAGTCTTTTGTTCTTGGCAAAGCTTTTGTCTTAGTGATTGCAAATGGTATTGTGTTTTTAATATCAGCTTTTGCTTGCTCTTTAATGTTGTATAGAAATACAATTGATTTTTATATACTGACCTTGTATCCTATGAATTTACTGAACTCATAAGGTCTAGGAACCTTTTTTTTTTTTTTTAGTAGATTTCTTTGGGATTTTCTATGTAGTTAGAAAACAGGATTTTCCTCATGTTATCTGCAAATAGGAACAGGTTTATTTCTTCCTTTCCAAACTGTATGTCTTTTATTTCCTTTTCTTGCCTTATTGTGCTGGCTGGCTGGGACTTCCGGGATTATTAAGAATGGTTAAAGGGAATATTCTTCCCTTGTTCTCAATGTTAGGTGAAAAGCCTTCAGTCTTTGACCATTAAGCATCATGTTAGTTGTGGGTGTTTTTAGATGTTCCTTATCAAGATGAGGAGGATCCTATGCCTAGTTCACTAGGAGTTTTTATCCTGAATGGGTGTTAAATTTTGTCAAATGCTTTTCTTGCATCAGTTGCTATGATTATGACTTTTCCTCTTTAGCCTGTTAATATGGTGAATTACAATGGCTGCTTTTCAAATTTTGAACCACTCCAGCATCCCTGGAATTAATGAAGTTGGTCATTGCTATAGTCTGAATATTTGTGTCCCCCACAAAATTCATATGTTGAAATTTGAATGCTAATATGATGGTATTTGGGAGGTGGGGTCTTTGGTGGGGAGGGGAGGGAAGGGTCTAGATCACAAGGGTGGAGCCCTTGTGAATAAGAATAGTGTTCTTATAAAAGATGCTCCACAGAGATCCCTAGCCGCCTACCATGTGGGACAAAGTGAGAAGGCCCTGGCTGTGAACCAGGAAGAGGACGTTCATCAGACCTCAGCCATGCTGGACCCTTGATCTTGGACTCTGAGCCTCCAGAACTTTGGGAAATAAGTTTCTATTATTTACAAGCCACCCAGTCTGTAATGTTTGTTATAGCATACTCAACAGACCAAGTCTCTCAAGCTATGTAATGTTAAAAGATAATATTAGATTTAATTTGCTAATATTTTGTTGAAGATTTTTCATCTCTGCATAAAGGATGTTGGTGTGTGCTTTGTACTGTTCTTTTTCTGGTTTTGGTTTCAGGGTAATCCTGGCCTCATAAAATAAGCTGGGAAGTGTTCCTTTTTATTTTCTAGAAGAAAGAGTGTAGAACTGGTGTTAATTTTTCTTTAAATGTTTGGTAAAATTCTTCAGTGAAACCATCTGAGCCTAGAGATTTCTTTTTTAAGAAATTCTAACTGCAAATTTAATGAATATTTATAGGCCAATTCAAATGCTCTGTTTCATATTAGAAGAGTTTGGTAGTCTATGCTTTTTGAGGAATTGGTCCATTTGGTCATGAAAAGTATCTGTGAAGAGTTACTCAGTGATTCCTTTGTTGTCCTTTGATGTATGCAGGAATGGTAGTGATATCTGCTTCATTCCTCATATTTGTGATTTGTGTCTTTTCTCTATTTTTGAGGTCAATCTTACTGGAATTTTTTCAACTTTAATGACCTTTTCAAAGAACCAACTCTTCATTTCATTGATTTTTCTCTAGTTTTCTGCTTTT